CTGACTGCTAAAAGGTAAACCACAAAACAGTCCCGGGCTTTTTTCACGGAAAACACGTTACTAGTTTTTAAAGGATGAAAGATACAAATCTAAACCAAATAGACTGATCAAAGATGCAGAAGACACTGTGCTGCTATTGAAGGAAAGACTGTGGGATAATGTGAAACTTATCATCAATGGACCCACAACCTGGGGCTCAGGGCTTTACAAAGCATCCTCTTCAGCTTTCTAGACTTCTGTTCTACAATGCTCCAACTCAAGTTCACTCGAGCACTCTATTTGGGACTCCAGTCCAGAGGTCTTCAGCACTCGTGTATTCCAGCAAATATATTCTTTACTGCAGATTCACATAGTCCATGTATCTGCTTTGGAAATTCATCCAACATTTGAGCTCCACAGAAGCTTAAACTGCAGCAATCAAGAAATTCTACACAAAATTCAGATATGACCAATTCACATTGCCCCTTGTGAACAGAAATACTTCAAATCTGCTTTCATGATGGATATTTCAGGCCTTGAAGGACATGAGCACCCTCTTGGAGGGGCGGGGTAGGGATTAATACTAACCTCATAGACTGCCTGTATTGCCTCTCTGGAGTAAAAATCCTCCTCCTGGTTTTTAATTACCCTTGGGAACTAGAAAACTAAAAGTTTGTAAGTATAGTTGTCTTACAACATCATATGATTAGAGATCTTCTAAGGACATCTTAGAAAAAATTCAAAACAGTGTAAAAGACACAATTATGTATAGACTAGAGATAAATCTGACTACAGTGAAGAACTCAGGTTAATTCAAGTCAGACATTTCCTCAGGAACCCAGAAAAGCCAAATTCCTTCATTTGGTGCTAAGAGCAAGCGAGCAATCAACAGAGGGGGTTCAGGCACCTTCCAGAGATCTATATGAAGTCTTGAGGCAAGAACTCTAGAATAATTGAGTTCAAAAAGAGTAAGATGATAGTACAAAGCAACCCAACTGGCAGAACTCAACTCACTGAACTAAAAAAAGCCAAAACAAAAACACAACGGACCCATTTTGCAAAATGCATCAACAGATGAATCAGTACCCTTGTCACACCTCGTTAATGGAGACTCCACCTCTCTTTAAAAAGACTTATGTTCCACCCTCCACAACAGCATACCTGTCTTCAATTACAGGGATATGCATGTTTCCTTTTATTGATTGAAGGACACAAGGTCTGAAGAATCATCCTATTATTTCTATTAATAAATAAAGGCAATTTAAAAGAAGCACTCGACTATAGTTCGGAAGACTTAACTATAAACCTGCCCTACATTTTTGCTACAGTATTCCCCCCAAAAAACAAAAGCAGCCTATTTCTTACTTACACAGAAAGCAAATTGATAATATTAACCATCAACATGATGTTGCATTTCAGTATCAAAGCTCTGTTAAAAGAAAATTCACAACTTCCAGAGTTTCTGCTTTATTTGGTTGACCAGTAAAGAACTTGCTAGGTATAATGGTTTACTCTGACAGACTTTAAAAAAAATACATGCTTCCGGAATAACTCAGGAACAACAAAGAAAATGAGAAATTAATCACATGCCTTCTCAAATACCTGAACAACCAGCAACAGCCATTTCCTATACTCCCTTCTCAGACCAGGGTGAGCCATGCTGGCTAACCTCCCAGTGTTATGACCTGTGAAGGATACAAATCTAATTTTGCTAAAAGAAAAATACCACTGCATCTTGTCTGTTAAGAGATAATACTTTTTTTTTTTTTAAGTCCTAAGTTAGCAAAATAGCTGACAGTCAAGTTAAAGCATGCAACAGAGAAGCACAAGTATATTTCAAAGGTTATCAAAAAAGCACTTGATTTCTCAGCTTCTACTCTATAAAATTTATTCAAGTTTTACTGGATGCCATAATTTTATTTCTTCATGCATCCAACAGCCTGTGCTGAGTGATGATCCTCCTCTGATAGGGAAGCTTTTGACATAATACTGAAACGTATACAGAGTGTGTCCTGTAATAACAGCCCAGGAAACCCTAATACACCAGGTGTGGCTTCAAGACAAATCCTGAGCCACCCAGGTAGTGCTCTAATAACTACAACAGCCTTCCTGTAAGCCTTTACTACTTGAACTAGTTTTATGCTGAAAAACACAAGGGAAGGGAGGTATAGGACAGAGGACTAATTTTTTGCCTGGCCTGCCCTTCTGTTGTAGCAGTGCAATAGAAGATAGGCCTTGACTGTACTGTATAATTTTCATATTCTTTGATACTGAGTTTCTCCCATTTCTCTGGGTATCCCATAGTTTATCTCATCTTCCAGCCTCAAAACGCCTTTTTTTTTCTCTAGAGAGAAACTCTAAAGTTTCTCTTAACCCTCTAGAGAAAATCACAGGTATTGTTAAAACTGTCAGCAAGTGAAAAACCACAGAAATGGCAGGATCACTGAAGATATTGAAGAGAAAACATGGCAGCATAAAGGGCCAATCCTAGAAAATCATCACTGATGCTATTCCAGGTAAGAAAAACTCCTTGAAATGCTCTGGACTGCTTTTGGTTTGGGGGAACACCAGGAGGGCCAGTAGCTTTCCATCCTGCCAGGGGAGACGTGCTGGTCCTGCACCATGCTGTGCCTCTGCTCAGCTAGCCGACGGGGCTCTGCCTGGAAGGTGAAGCACATCATCTCAGCCTGCTCCGCTCAGCACATCCGCAGCCACTGTTCCAGATCGTGCTTCCCCTACATCACGTGGCTGCTTCTGCCTACACCACCCTGGTCAACACCAGCATTAATAATTCTGTACCTCTGGTAGTTACCTTCTCAAGTCCTTCTACTCCACAATGACAGATGAAGCTGCACCCAAAATTAGCTTGTAAAGCTTTATGTCAGTACAACAGCATCCTCCTCACTTCTATTTTTCCTAAAACAGGAAAACAGATTGCTGCTTTGGTCTAGGAATCTAGTGAACCCACATGCATTCTGAGTGGCAAAAGGCACAGGGTTTTCTTTGCTAGGATGCTCTTGGCTTGGCGATGAGGTGCTTCCGCTGACCCAGAACATGGTAAGTGAGATATAATCTTGTGCAAGGACCACTGTGAGCAGCCAAAGGAGTCCCCAGCAGAACAGCAACCCACAATAGCCTGCAACAACAAAAAATACTCCTTCCTGCCTATTCACATGGGGAGCAAGCACCTTCTACTGCAGGGCTTCCCAGGCTGTGCTGCAAGCACACGAGCAAAGCTTGCCATGAGGAGTGTTCCCCACAGCAAATGTGCCTTCCACGTCACTATCCCAACCTCAGGCTGACAAGCAGGGTTAATTGTAGGTTGACAGCTTCCAAGTAATTACAGCAATCCCCAGTCCAGTGCTTACTGGTACGACACTGGTTATCCTCAACAAAGGAAGGCAGAGTAGAGAAAAATGTGGATTTTGACTAAAACTCTCTTTCCAATCCTTAAATTCTGCTTCCACCAGATGTTCCTCCCTGCATCTCTCCACTACCCTTCTCACTGGACACCAAGCCAAGTAAAACAAAAAAACAGCATCTCTTTCATCCTCAGAAAACTGTACTGATGCAGCCAGTTTGAAGTGCTCTATTGTACAAACTCCATTTGCAATCTGTCTTGGTATATGCAGTCCACAAAGAACATGAGAAGCTGCATGTTCAGTTGTAGGACTGACGCCATGCAAATCCTTCTCACTTCCAGCAAGCTGTGAAACACAAAAGGCAGGATATCCTGGAAGCAGCAATGTAAAAGAAAAAAAGCAGGTATCCTGGGAAAAGGTTACACAGGGCTTCTTTAAGGGCAACAGCTGATCCTGAAAAAAGAAGGCTGGTTCAGAGGGAGCCGCCTTGTGAAGCCACCCACAAATACCTGCACTTGAAGCACCAAGGATCCAGACCACACCCCTGCTGCAGCCTGGATCCCAGAGTGATCCAGGCAGCTGAACCGTGGGCAAGACACAATGCAACCCAGGAAGCCAGTCCAGGTGACATGATAACAACGTATACTGGAGTATTTATTGTTTTACGCCCTGGTGAACTCCAAATGAATGCTGTCACATGCATCTGGGTCAAAATTTGACTGCCATTACAGCCAACAGCACAAAGAGGTGGTATCAGCTATCACAGAACCAAGGTCTGCATCCCATGTATGACTCACTACAGCCTGAAGCACCCGAGCTCCACACCAACCCATTCCCATGGCAGATGAGTGGGGGCCACTGGAGGAGCACCCTGGTACCTGAAAAAGGGGAAATCCTCCCTCCGCTACAGGAGGATCTTTAAAACCATTCTTTTCCCACATTTTCTTCTTGTTAGTACTGAAATATATGTGAAGACCTTGACAGAGGTACAATAATAGAGAAGGTGCTTTAGTTTTTTTAACTTCCCTAGGTACTAGTGCAAGCTTTTAGCTTATATTAAAAGTTCAGCACAGTCCAAACACTTGCAGGAGATGCTTAAGGGAAGTGGTGATGTGACAGAAAAAAGGATAAACTACCCTTCTTTTTCAACAGTCGTAATCTGAAGACTGCTAACACATGAGCTTCAAAAATATACAGCCCCCACACACCAACCATCAAACTTTGTTTAAATGCTTGCTAACATCACCGGGCTAATTCCTCACAACTTAAAATCATTTTTCCTGCAAGTGTGGCTACTATTTCATATTCAACTTTATTCTCCTGTATCTTCACATGTGTGATAGTTACACAGCTCTTCTTTAAGCAAAAGCTTGAAAAGAATAAAATTAAACACTTGAAAAAAATCCTGTATTTATCACACAGATGTGCTTACCTCATTGTCAGACTGGAGACAACCAGTTTGAGTTTTTTGGGTTTGCCTGCCTATAAGATGTTCATCACAAAGTTAGGCCATGAATTTAAAATGGTGCAGCTAATCAAACTAAACAAAACAAAGCCACACAAGCCTCATGCACAGCTGTATATTCCCATTCAAATTTCTCCATAAAGTATGTACAGTGGAAGAAGTAACAGACCCTTTTGAGAAAGCTCCTATCTTACCTGGATCCTCCCAAAACTCCTTGGCCATTTCCAACAAGATGACTGATGGAAACAAGAGAGGCTGCTAGAGAGAATGAGCAGAGTCCTAGGAAAACATGAGCCAATTAGCTTTCATTAATCACAACTAACCACACCTCAGCATACCTTCAGATGTCACTCCAAAACCTTTACCTGTCCTGGGGTGAAATACTAAGCCCAAACTGCAAGGCCTCGTGGTCGTCTTACACCGGCGGCAGGCGCACCCAGGGTCAGTGCCTGGGCATGTATGGGGATCAGGCAGCATCTTTCAGTAGGGGAAGAAAATATGGCTTTAAAGTCCAGCACAGATGTGGTAGGAGGGGCAACCCCTGATGCTAACCTGTTTTGCCTTCAAGCAGTCAAACCAGCATTTTCCTTCCACTGCAATCTTCAAGTCTTCCCTCCTGAATCTGCTGAGGCCCCTTTGGTCCTCTCAGATCCCCAGCCTTTCCCACCCTGGCATCGTCCTTCACACCTCACATATTCCTCAAGAAGGAGCTCACCTCAAACTACTCTTCCTTCTTGTGCTAGTTTCCCCTCTCCTCTACTTCTACGTCCTCCCTAGAGCTAAAGCAGCAGTCACTCAGCAAACACTCCAGCGGCATAAAGTGGCCTTTGTCCTCCCTCTTCCCTCCCACGGGGATTCATAAAGAAACCAGGATTAATACAGAAAACAACTCATCTCAAGTAGCCGATTTCTTTGAAACCGTCCAAATTTCCACTGCCATCTGATGCACTCAAGCAGTCAGTACTTATTATTCACATGAATTCCCAATTTTTTTACTTAAAAAACTTTAAAAAAAAAAATCAGGAAATAATAGAACTGCATTTTTTTAAAGGGATACAAAAAATTCTTCTACAGAGCTCAGTAACTAATCTGGGACCATAACAGAAAGATTTGCAACAGAAGCTACAAAGGGTAATTTAAAAAAAAGTCTATGAACCAGCTTAGTATCTTAAAAACCCTGATAGGCTGACTACTACATAAACAGACACGCAACTCCATCTCAACTGAAAAAAAGAAGCTGAACTTCCAACACTTGTTAAAAACGTACTTTCAGTTCCAAGTTAAAAGAAATCTGATGTAATATTTTCAAAACTACATATACATATGAAAAACTGGGAAAGACTGCAAGGATTTAAACTGAAAGAGAATAATCCGTAAGAGTATATGGTCAACATATTATTTATCATTGCTGATTTAATGTTGAATACATGTAATTATAACTTAGCATGTAACACAGACATACCCATAGCATCAGATGCCATATCATTGAAAGACTGTATTTTCATTTACAATAGGAAAGACTGTTACAGCCCCAAGAAAAAGCTGTTACTTAGTCCACTGCACTGCAAAAAACATGTTCTGTGGGTGTTGACCTTTTGAGCAAGACATGACTTGTACAGCATGATAACAGGCTAAGAAACTTCATGTCTAAGATTCCTCTCCCTAGGTTAATAAGAAATAATCTTTTTCTTCGGAAGGATGTAGAACTTCAATGCAAAACATACAAGAAGGTCTAAATTTGTTTCAGTTTACCATCAAAATATGATACAAAACATTTGAAAAAAACATCCTTCCCCTAGCCAAAGCTTAATTCTTGTATAAATGAACTAAAAAAAATACTAAGGTGTTACACTACTTCTTCAAAAGCTCATAATGCATCTCCAAGCTCCCAAAGAAAAAATTACTTTAATGTATGACATTCATGTAGTGAACCAAACATTATCTCATGGTCCATATAATCTGAGATTGAGTGTCCGACCATGACTAATTTCAGATGCTTGAGAAGAGGCGAGAGTACTGTAATAGGATGGTAGTTAAAGACAAAGCTCATCACACTATCTCCAAAACTTATGTTTCTTTTGTACACTTGCAGTTTAATGCTTTGTTCCCAACAGTTCCAATTCAAGACAACTACGACAGACAAGCCCATTCTCCTTCTGTTTCCCAAGAACTTTGAAATTTGAAGCAATGCTCTTAACCACAGCCACGAGATCAGTTACCAAAATCTATAAAAAACATAAGTTTCTGAAAAATTATCCCAGCAAAGAGCAAACAAGGACAATAAAGTGATGATGAAACATGCACATATATTCGCACAAATTAATACACAGCTGGCAAGTGTATTTTTGGGAAAGAATATTAAAAGAGGAGAAAACAGACCTGGCAGCATGTTCATTGAGAGGCAAGCCAGCAAGTATGAGAGAAGGAGAAACAGCATCGTCCCTGTAGCATCCACGTCAGTAACACTCCTTGCAGTAGAGCAGAGATACAGTAAGTACCCTGCACAATGCCAGTCGTGTACCCAAGCACCTGCCTAAAAGGCTTCCTGAATGAACACAGCAAAGGCTTGAAAGCAGTCGCCAGCCACTGCCAAAATAACAACTTATTAGGAGCCGGTGAAATGAGACAAAGATTTACCTCTTTAGTTTTCCTATCTTTGTAAAGGATCCCAGGTAAGAAAACAAACACAAAAGAAATTCCTCCCCACCCCCAAAACCACCACACGTACTAAAAACAAGTGTTCTTATCTTTACATAGTAATAAAAGTCCATGTTATCTTAGGGCCCTCTGAAGTCCATGATCTTTTAAAATCCTTTCCGGTCCTATTGCTATGACTCTGAAATTCCCTACGTTTTTACATTTTGCATTCCCTACTTTTTACGTCTGCATTTCTCTCTGCAACAGGGCTACTGGAGGTATCCGTGTGCCTTTTGGTAGAGGCAACCAAGGGTTACACAGGTTTCAGACTGCAAAAAATGCTGTAGTTTTCTGAGGGCGAGCTGAACGGGTAGCAGCTTATCACCCTGAGAGGGGTAACCTCTCATCTGCCTCCCCTTGTTTCTGCTCCTCGTTACCTGCTCCTCCTGCCCTGTTGCTTAAGCTCCGAAACGCATGGTGTCCCTCTGCAGCAGGGATGTGGAGAAGAGAAAGGCTTTCTTACTTTCTGCAGAGCCAGCAGTTTGCACCCAAATGTGGAAAAGCCCAGTGACCAGAGGCGATGCTGGGAAGGGAGCAGAGGGGAGGGCACAGCCGTGGGAAGATTTCCTCCTTTTGGGGGGCCAGCAGGCAAGTACCTCAGCCCAACTACTCACAAAATTGCAACCCTAGAGAATAATTGAAACTGAAGTTATTAAAAAATATTTGTCATGTTCTTCATTCCTGAATGCTTTGATCCCTGTCCTGGAAACTCCGCAGTATGTAAGCAGGGCCAACAGCACAGGAGGTTACCGCACACCGTTTAACCTCAAACCAGCAGAGCAGCTACAGAGCATCCCCCTTCCCAAAATTCTCCAGTGCCTCCCTTCAAACAAGCTGATCACCACAGTGGGCAGGTTCAGCATCCTGGACTCAGTGCTCACCCAGCTGAGAAAAAGGAAAACACAGCAAAATAGCCAACCTTTGCCACTGAGGATTTCGTGAAAGATTTTTATTGCTATCGCCTCCACCACTATAGAGTGGGTGTGATGGGCTACACTTAATAAATCAGGGAAGAGCAGAGCACAGATGGGAATTCCAAAGGGGGTGTCCTCAGCCCACCACAGGCACAGCCTCCAGCACAGGTCATGCCAGAGGACCGGAGGAGGACACACTCCCCTCCCACAGGCAGTTTCTTCTGAAACGCAGCTATTACAGTATCACCTTTTTAGTCAGGTTGCTTTGGACCCGGGGCACTAAGAAGGAACCGGAGATGACCAAAACCTTGCTGAGCATCACAGCAACAAAGAGTATGGCCAATGTGAGGGATGGAGTTCTGGACCATACATATCACAAGCTGGACTTGCTCAAAATACGAAATGTAACAATGCTTACACAACTTCAGATCAGGCCTGAAGGATCCACAGAAACATTTAGATATAATTCAGAAAGTTGCTGCTGCCGATATAGCCAGAGATCTTGCTAATATCTGAGAGATATTTGTGAACCACTGACTGTTACATTCCATACTTCTTTCCTTTTCCCCCCACATTCCAAATCAGTCTGCTAAATCTTGCTAATTACAAAGAAAACAAATTTGTTCACAAAACTAAGTAATTACCCACTACATAAATTTAACTGTTTAACCACCGTTGCAAAATAAATTCAGCAAGCTCTTTCAAGGCACTTTGCTTTAAAAAAAAAAAACGTTTCCTTTTACGCTAAAAAAGGCCTTTTGTTGAGCATTTACAAATCCAGGGTTCACTCAGACTTCCATCTGAAGACTCTGGGAATTTCTCTATTGATTTTTCTGAGAGCAGACCAAACCCCAAAAGATGCATGTACAGAGGTGGCCACCCCAGCTCTAGCACCGCTCACAACACCCTCCGTTTGGCACTGCCAGGGCCGGATCCCAGTTTGGAGACTGGCCCCCTTCTGCCTTTACCACTCAGAGGTGCGGTGAGCGCAGCAGCACCGCGAGCTGCACACATGAAAAGTGAGGTTTAGCTCCAAACGCCTCATCCATCTCTCATTGCCCGGATCAAACCGAAACCACCCTTCAACCACCCGCCTGCAGAGCGAGAAGCAGCATTCAGCACATGAGGAAAGACCCCCCCTGGCTTGACAGAAATGCTTCAGGAGTCTTGTAAACCCTGGGCACGACCTGCAGCGTAGCACAGAGACCGACCCGTGCTAACCAAGCGTTTGTGCGCGCCGTGCTCCCGACAGCAGCTGCAACTTAGCTCGCAGAGCTCCAGCATGCCTACAGGAGCTGCAGCCAGCACCCTGTCCGCAGGGTAAAGACCACCTGGCTGCAACTCATTCCACTTTCCACCGGGAAAAAGTTTGGGTGCTGCAGAGGCTCCCAAACCCCTCTCTCAAGGCCGTGCTGAGCGGCCCGTGGGTGGCAACAGGCTTTGCCTTCGAGCTGCGGCGCACAGCACAGCAGCAGGACAGAACTGAAGCAGCCCTGCCCGGCCCCATCGCCCTCTGATCCGATTCTGCACGCTGTTCAGCGAAAGAAAAAACAAGAACTCTCTTTGGCTACCTGAAAAATTGTTAATTGGTATTCTAAGCTGCTT